AAAATATGGACTATAAATAACATTTCACAGGAATTTAGATGTACCACATAAGAATTTTTTACCCTGGAAACTAGCATGGAGGAGTTCTAGTCGAGCCTTCTTAACATGGAGGTTTTCTTTTTTCAAGATGATGAAAACATACCATCTGTCACATGCATTTTGAAGTGTATCACTCCCAGAGGGCATGTACCACATTGTTCTGGCAAAACCATGCCCCCAACAAAATATGATGTTATGTTTTTAAAATTATTTTTCTTATCTCTATCCTTAATGTGGTTTATCCCAAATGTTACGGTGTCACTTACCCTTCCTGGAATCACCAGATTGTCAATACCTATCAAATCTTTTTTCAGTTCATGCAATTTCTGGAAGTTTTCCATTTTCAGCATACTGCTATGAAGCTGAGCCACCATTTCTGAAATCTCTGCCAGAGCAGCTGTAAAAGGAAAAAAAGCAATCTTGGTAAAGCAAAAGCAAAGCGTGCTGCTTATATGCCGCCCCATAGCCCTTCAAGCACTCTCTGGGCGGTTTACAAGTTAATTATGCAGGCTACACATTGCGTCCCCCCCCAGCAAGCTTGGTACTCATTTTACCGACCTCGGAAGGATAGAAGTCTGAGTCAACCTTGAGCTGGCTACCTGGGATTGAACCCCAGGTCGTGAGCACAGTTTTGGCTGCAGTACAGCGGTTTAACCACTGCACCACGAGGCTCTTATGTAGATGTTTGAAAAGTTCTGGGTACAAAAATGTGCCTTGTGGCACCCCACATTTAACTACCAGTGAACAGAGACAATGCTGCTCTCTGAAACCAACTCTCTGAAGCAGAGCAGTATGCTGCCCCTCCCCCCATTTAAGCCATTGAAAGCCTAAGGAGAAGCAGTGTGTTTGAATCCCCCAATCGCTGAGCTGATAAAAATCATCCATTGGCATGCAAAGACCATTCCATCCCATAATCAGACTGAACCCAGACTGAAATGAATCTAGATAATCTCTTCTAAGACCTCCACATGTGTTCTGCCACCACCATCCCCTCATTTCCCTTGTTCTAAAAGTAGTATACTTGTATATGAGTGGTAGACCAGATGAGATGGGCAGGATATAAATCAAATAAACAAACAAACAAACAAATAAATAAATAAATAAATAAATAAATAANNATCAATCAATCAATAAATAAATAAATATGGACATTAGTTAGCATTGTATAGTGCTAGTTGTGTTCCATTTACTGGAATACCATATTTCCTTGTTGAGATAAGTGCAGTGCAATATGTTTCCTTACGATAAGGAGAGAAGATAACTTTGAGAGTATTCAGGATATTGATGTAATTATCTCACAGCTTTTCTTGCCCTCAAGATATCGACATATCCCATTGAAAAAACAGGCAAGTGCTCCTACTTTTTTGGGGGGGATCAGCAATAGTAATAGCATTTTCTCAAAGGGGAAGTTGTGTGTAAGACTGTTTTCTGCAAAATATGACATTTTGCATTCAAAATGAAATAAGGAGGAATTTCGTGATTGTGAGAACCACTAAGCAGTTGAATTACTTGCCTCCTGATGCTGCAGGTGCCCCATTGCTGGAGGTTTTCAAGAAAAGATTAGACAGCCATCTGTCCAGGATGGTATGAGGTCTCCTGCCTTGGGCAGGGGGTTGGACTAGAAGATATCCAAGGTCCCCTCCAACCATATGATGATTCTATGATTCTGTGAAATGCACAGTTTTATGTATAGAATACAAACTTTCCTCCATATGAAAAACCCTAGTTCTTCTGAATGTATTGCAAAAAGCACTGAAATGCTAAAAATGCACAAAATCTCACACATTGGCCAAAATCCTGTTGCTTAGTGTAATAAAGTTCACTAGAATAAGCCCATTAAATCAATGAGAATTTGGTGAGTCAACTGTTCTGTAAATGCCGCTGATTCAAAAGAGCCTACTCTAAATGCAGCTTGCTATGCTAAATCTCTGTTGATTCAGTAGGCATACTCTAGTGCACTTTACTACACGTATCAACAAAATTTTGGCCAATATCACCTGATAGGAAGGAAAGTGTGGGGACTTTTCATTCTTGTCTGCAAGAATAAAATAAGCAAAGTTTACATCCAAAGTAAAGGCAACTTTAGCAACAGGAAAAAGAGAAATGGAATGCATATATGTATATACACTGATGCACACACATGTTCTCTGGCTTGTTTGGTGTGTTTGTGTGCATGTATTGCAATTGGACAGTATTTAAAAATAAATGTATAGCTTGATTTACTGAAAAAACAGATGGTGGTTATGAACCATGGAAGTTCAGATAAACATATGGGTCAAATTGAATTAGTTTTGACACAACTGAAAAAACGACGTGGCTGATGTGTTCTCTTTGGTTTAATTGGTTTTTTTTTAATGAGCATCTCTTATCTTTATATTGAAAATAAAAGATTCCTTTTGTGCCTAAAAGAATTTTCCCACATAAGCCATATCTGGTTTTTGCTTTGAAATTTCATTTTCAGGGAGCAGTTCCTGGCATTTTATTTCTTTTCCCATGAGCACTATCGTCATTTTAGTCAGAATGATGAACAGCTGCGTCCAGTTGGTGTCCCTTCACTGTCAGAGAGCTGTTTGATCCAGCAGAGGGGATTCTTTCTCCCTCTGGAGGCTTCCTCCCCCGGATCTGCTTCACAGGGTAGAGGGACTCTTTGGAACAGCATGATGGCTAAAGGGAGATGCTTCAGTATAAAACGACATTCACGGAAATTTGTTTCGTCTTCTTACTTAAGCAGAAAAGCTTCCACTGGGTCAAAGATCAGTCCTTCAACAGAGGATAGTAGTTCATTATAACCCTAAGAGTCCTGACATTATTAGCCCCAAATTCATAACTAAAAGAGTCTGGAGAAATTTCTACATATAAGAAAAAGATATATATGAAGTTGAGACTTACTGCTTTCCCTGGTTTCTGATGCTCCATTGCTAAAGGCATTTTCTCCAGCCTCCTTTAGGAACCAGGGTGAAAAAGTATGTATAGTGAAAAGTATCCAAATGAACAAGGTACTGTATGTTAAAAAGCAGGGAAAGGTTCACAATTTATTCTTAAATGTAGCTTTCTCCCCTTGCTTTAGGTATGAGCAAAGGCATACACAAACCAGCCAGTGTAGTTGTCTCCATCTCACATAGTGTGATGCTCCAGTTGCAAACAGGACACATGGGTGTGTGTGTGTGGGTAATATATATTGTGTATGCTACATTGCACTTCCAAATATGTTAAGTGTAAGTGGTTCTGTTTTAAGATAAACAAAATGGTGGCTTTCTAAAGCAAGATAATTACACTACTTCAGATGTTTAATTTCAAAGAACATGGGTTGATAACATATAAAGCACTGGCTGGGTTGTGTATGCCTTTGCTCATACCTTTATATATCTTAGCTACTGCTGATCTTTTTTTTTAAAAAAAAGATCAGCAGTAGATAAGACAATGTCATTTAGAACAATGTGAATGGAAATACGTGTCAACCTGCTGAGCATTTACTAAGTACACTCCTTTTGCGTGTTCAGTATATTCTAAGGAAGTTTATCTGAGTAACCCTAACTGCAGACCTCTGTGAATTTTATGCAGTGCTTTTGTCCTTCACTTGTTTCTAAACTCCTGTATCGAACAATATATTTATTATGTTAGTGATTTGTATAGAGAGTAGATTGGAAGCTATCAACACAGTTATTAAGAATGCCATGGTAATGTCAAAATACTCATTTATAGTAGAATACTTATTTGCATCTTGTACCTTTCCACAGAATTTTAAATGTAGGCTAATGGTTGGGTTTGGAGGGTTTCAAGTGTTCCATTTTCCTATCCCTAAGTGAGATGGGGATTGATGGAAATTATTCTGCATTACTTTGAGAAAAATCATCCATTGATTTATTTTTATAAATAGGAAATGTGTTCTTTGTGATTAATGAAAGTCCTTCTTTATTTTCTCATGGATTAAGTTTGCATGGAAAATGATACATTTGTTATCATTTTGTCATAGGATGCCCTCACAGTTTACAAAGAAGCAATACAAAAAATGCCAAGGCAGTTTGCACCACAGAGCTTATATAATATGATGGGTGAGTAGAATTGAACAAGAGCAAGGTTATTGCATCCATTTGTAATTTATTTAAACGCATACACTTTTGTTTAGGTTTGACCATACAAAGCATTATTTAATATAAAATATGTTGCAAGTGTATAAACTAGACTAGTATGAGTAGTATCTTGTTTGAATTATTGTATATGGAAAAGTAACCATGCAGGTGGTCTTCTACATTTTCCAGAGGGGCTGGGTATTGGGGGCTGTCATCATAATGGTATTTAATTGCAAGTAGGTCCTGCAGAACACAATATGAGATCACTTGCAAAGGATTGTGCTTCTAATAACATTTTTCACATCCCAAGGCTAAAAACTCCAAACCATTTTACCCCCAAAATATGATGGGAATAGGAGGGAAACTCACTGCAACTTTTCCTTGTTTATGTATAGTTTCAGGCACCTGCTGTTTCAGCAGTGTTTAGTTTTGAGCATTTTAAACATATTTTTTGTGTACTGCACTGGTGGGTGGGTGTTTTTTCTGTTGGAAACACCAAGGTAAGTATATAAAGAAGCCTTACTGCCTTGGCTGCCTTCTCTAACTGGATGCTTTAACTATAACTCCCATCCGTTCCAGCTATCATGTCCAGTGGCTATCCATGACATACCAGGTTTAGAAAGGCTGATACTAGTCTGTTGAAAAAGGATTTTGCACTCCAAGTTACCCAACTGTAATTAGTGTTAGAACTTTGTCAGAATTAATCTTTTGTACCGCCTGTTTTCCAAGGTTTTTGAAGAAGGTGTCCATTGGCTTTTATCTCACTAGTCTGGCCAGCTGGTTCCCACTTCAAACTCTAGCCACTGATTTACTGTTGATATAAAGTAGTATTATTTTGTCCTGCAGATTTTAAGTGAGAGGGTGTAATTTCTGTCTTGTATTGATAAATACTGCAGTATTTCTTATGTTGTGTATTAAATATGTGCATCGTATGGAAAACTATGCAAAAAATTGTGTCTGTAGCATTGGTGTGATTTATTTGTCCAGCTGTGCTTGAAGAAAGCTATGAAAACCATATGTTTTGGCCCTTTATCAAGGGAAAATATTTTATCAGTCTTCTTTCTTTCACTCCTCAAAGAAAATTATTATTTTAAACCGATAATTTTTAAAATGGGTATCAGACTAACTTTTACAAATTTCCATGTAATGTTTTTTGGTATATATTGTACTTCTTGCCACTTGCCTTCAAGGAATAAGCATAGAGGGTAGAACAGATTAATGGGCTTGGCATTGGGACATGCCATAACAAAGTCCAACTCAGCTACATTAAGTAGGTAATCTATTTTGTTTTAAAGCTTCAATTAAATCTTGAGCTCAAGAGATATAATAGTCCCTATGGAACCTTGAATAGTTTCACGCTAAAATTAGGCTTACTTGGGGATCAGTCTTCATATAGATGTCTTTTGCTATCCTGGAAACATGATATTATGCAGTTGATTGTGTTGCATTGCTCTTAAAACCGCACAAGCCCACCTGCTAGAATAATTCATATGTTAGCCAGCTTAGTAGTATTAATGGTAGTTGGAGCACAGGGGCCATATTTTAATATTGAAAGGTAACAGGAAAGAAAGTATGCTTGATTCACTCAAATTTCTGATCATTAGTTAGAGATGTCGTTTTTTATTTTAATAACTGTGTTTCTCGAAGAACAGCTGAATAGCTGATCTTCAGGTAGAATTTTGGTAAGGTAGCTAGGTGACACAGTATTTTGAGTTTGTCATTTTGTTTGCAATCTTATGTTGAATATAAATCATTGAACTTCTTCAAATCCATGGAAGGGCTTACTTGCAAATTATAAAGATGGAATTTCAAACAGCTGTTCTGAAATGATCTGTAGGCTTGGTTGTGTCAATGTTGGTTAAGCATTAGCCCAGAAATTGATCAAGATGCTCACCTATATTCTAAATTCTGTTGGCTTCCTGTGTGAGATAGATAGATAGATAGATAGATAGATAGATAGATAGATAGATAGATAGATAGATAGATAGATAGATAGATAGATAGATAGATAGATAGATAGATAGATAGATCTCTTTTGCAGTTGGATAGAGTAACTCAGTCCAGCAGCAAGTTATTTGGGGAAGTTAAAATTGTGCTTATTATTTAGCTGTATTGAGGCTTGCCTTTATAGCAGAATGCTTGTATGGGGTAGTTTGCCACAAAACTGTCACAACATTTTAATAAGCAACTGATATCTTTATCCAGTTTATAGTATAGTTATAAGTCACTGACACCAAATGGCAAACACCATCTCACAAATACCTTTACACATAAAACAGCCTCCTTGATTAGTCTACAACATCACTCTCTTGCATGTGTGAATTGCACAGCTTAGAATTATTCCACTCTCACACACATACTAGAGTTCATGACCATAACTGTTCTCATTGGAGTAATTCTGAGAGTTCTAGTCCAACCCCTCCCCCTTTTCACTTTTCAAATTCTGGTGAACTGGGTCAAATTATAAGGTCCCTGGCCTTTTAACTCTTTTTTGTGTTTTTTAGAAGTGTAGCAGCATTGATGGTTCCTAGCACTTAAAGCACTCTCTGAGTGGTTCACAAGTTAATTATGCAAGCTACACATCCCCCCACCCAGCAACCTGGGTACTCAGTTTACCAATCTCAGAAGAATGGAAGGCTGAGTCAGGCTTGAGCTGGCTACCTAAATCTGCTGGGATTGAACACAGGTTGTGAGCAGAGTATTGACTGCAATACTACAGCTTAACCACTGTGCCACAAGGCTCTTTACATCACACTAATCTAACAAAATAACCCAGTTCCTCCATACTGAATTCTGTGTTCTCATTTGACTTGTGGTTGGTTTATGCTCTTAGGTAAACATCATTCAGAACTCCTATGTGGTAAAATGTTTGTTCTCTTCCTTGTTGAAATTGATTAACTTTAGATTTCATTGTGTGCCTCAGTGTTCGATGTTGAATCTTCTAAATTGCCTTTAAAAAATTCCAGTTAAGCCAATTAACTAAGCTCAATGTTGATTGGATATTTGGGTCCATAAGGAGCCATTCAACCAAAATAAATGAAAATTGACTCTGTTAACACACACAAATCAGATCAGGTAGACAGGAATTCTCAGAGTGTTCCATTAAATGAAAAGGTATATTTGAGTTAGACAACCCGCATTATGGAATGACCTGCCAGCAGAGGTGCTCCTAACACTCAGAAAATCAATTGAAACACATCTCTTAGGAGAAACTTTTCAAGATATCCTCCCCATGTGATACTGTAGCTTATTATGTTGTTATATTTTAATTTCGTTTTCTGACTGCTGTTGCCACTGGGGATTTTTCACTTTTTCTTTCGTTCTTTGCTGAGAGGTTTCTTTGGTGGAGGGCTGGGTGTTTTTATGTGTTTCATGTGTGTACGCCATCCAGAGTACTGGCATGCCACTAGATGTGAGGGATAACATTCAATTAAATAAATAAATCACTGCGTAAATGTAATTTTTTGAATGAATTATAGGATTATATATATACTTAGTTTATTATTTATGTACATATGCTAGAGCCAAACGATCTATTAGCTTGCCTAAGTAGTTCTTGCCTCAAGCGCATGGTTTTCTTTGTAAGTGCTAAGGAAAGAATTTATGATTTTTAATATCAGAATACTGGGGGGAGGGGCAAAGATTTCTGTGAAAGTCCAGAAATACATTTGTATGCCATTCTCTTGCCTCTTTAGACTCTGGAATCCCACTTCAGGAGAGTCCTTTTTGCTTTCCTCCAGAATTATTGTATTCTCACAACTAACCCAACCAGTTCAAAACTGGAAGGTAGCTCCACTTGTTCGTTTTCAAAATCCCATAATGGTCATTTTTCTGTATTCAGTAAATCTCATATTTCATTAAATAAAGCAGTACCGGAAATCATTCTTCAGTTATTTTGTTTTTTGCTGCTCATATTGTTTTTAGCTTGCCTGATAGAACATGTCTTTGTTGAGATAAGACAAGAGAGACTTGTGGCATCTTAAGGAATGACAGGTTCATTTCTTCATATGTATAAACACACTTGGATTTCCCCTGAATTGCAAGGATATATAGCCATAGAATGGAGAATGGGACTTAAACACTGAGGCAGGGAGAAAAGTGAAATTCCAAAGATGTGGCCAGTGGTCATGTTGTTAGCAGAAACATTGTTGAATCAAAAACTAATTAAAAATGAAGCTTTATTATTATTTTCAGTATTTAAGGATGGAAATGAAAAAATTATTCAATAAAGACCTAATTGCACATCTTATTGGTGCAGCAAGAGTTGAAATTGCACAAAATTGAAGAAATGCTCAAGATCTTTCAGTAAAAAAAATTTGAGAACAAAATCCGGCAAATGGCCCTGATGGAAAAGATGACCAATCAAATAATAATAATTTATTGTCATTGTAAGTATATACACATACAACGAAATTCACAATGAAATGTAATATATAGAGGGGAAATAAAGCAGGATTAATGTATGAAAACCTGGCAACCATTATTAACATATGGATTTAGCTCAAGAAAAGAAGAATGTGATATGGGAAGTAATTTGAATTGCTGGCATGTAATATTTTAAAAGAATTAATTATGTTAAAATATGAACTAGTGGGTGCATAAAGCAAAAGCAAAAGCGTGCTGCTTATATACCGCCCCATAGCACTTCAAGCACCCTCTGGGCAGTTTACAAGTTAATTATTCAGGCTACACATCCCCCCTTCCCCACGAGCTGGGTACTCATTTTACTGACCTCAGAAGGATAGAAGGCTGAGTCAGCCTTGAGCCGGCTACCTGGGATTGAACCCCAGCTCGTGAGTACAGTTTTGAAAGACAGTCTACTGAAAGAATATGTAAGTAATGTGATAATATTGTACTACAATTCTAACTGGCATAAAATTAAATTTTAAAAAAATTGTTAGCAGAAGAAACCCACAACAGTTGTTGCTGATGACATATGCATCCTGGCCTTTAATGAGTCAATCACCATGTATAGTATGGTTTTTAAAGAATAGATTTTTGAAAAGTATCCTTTTCAAGTAACAGACAAAATGTCTAGAGAGTCAAAGATTCTTCCATTGGTTTTTAAATATTGCATTTCTGATACAGATTTGTATCGATTTATTTTGTGCATATAGAGTCTGGCCTTCTTGTATTGGAGTGTATCAGATTGGAAAAATAAGCAGTTGAATGATGCCCTGATGTCCTGGACAAGAGTGAATATGAGCATAAAGTCAACATACTCTGGTCCTTCTGTTTGTATTTTTTAAGCCTATTATTGTTAGAGAGCAGCTGTTTTATTGTTGTTATATATGCCTTCAAATCAGAACCAACTTGTAGCAATTCTAACAGGGCTTTCAGAGTAAGTGAGGTAAGGATTGGTTTTATCAGCCCTCCTCCCCCAAAATCTGGTGAGCTTCCATGACTGAGGAGGGATTTAAACCCAGGCCTCTTGAATCATAGTCTGTTGCTTTATGCACTGCACCACACTGGGTATCCCTATGCCGCTGATTTAGGGTGTGTGGATTGTCTGTATATCCCTACCATCAAAGGCCTGTGAGGGAAAATTTTCATTCTCCACTATAGCTCAATAATGCACTGTATATCAGTAATGATACATTTGAGTAATTTTAGTTGACAGTTGCAGATGAGAGTGAGTGCTGTTTTGTCACTTTTTCCCACAACACAAGTTTAATATTTTTGTTTTTCACTTTGTAGCTAAAGTGAAGTGGTTTGAGAAATACCTACAGTACCTGATGAAAATCCTCTTTCAGAGTCTGATTTAGTGTTGTGGTCTGGGTGGAAGTTAAAAGCAGATTGAGTATGTGTAGCCGTCAGCAGGTTTCTGATACAAGGTGGTGTTTATATGTCCACTACTGCACAATAAAGGGATGTGGTGGCGCTGCGGGTTAAACTGCAGAGCCTCTGGGCTGCAAGTTCCTAAGACCAGCAGTTCGAATCCACGCAACGGAGGTAGCTCCCATCGCTTGTCCCAGCTCCTGCCAACCTAGCAGTTCGAAAGTATGTAAATGCAAGTAGATAAATAGGTACCACTACAGTGGGAAGGTAACAGCGTTCCATGTCTAGTCACACTGGCCAAGTGACCACAGAAACTGTCTACAGACACTGGCTCTATGGCTTGGAAACACGGATGAGCACCGCCCCCTAGAGTCGGACACAACTGGACAAATTGTCAGGGGAAACTTTACGGTTACCTTACTGCACAATAGTGTCCACAAAGTGAATGTGTTGTGTCTAAACTATGCTCAGGTTCAAGTGTGATTTATTGTTAATGAAGTTTTCATGGAACTTCTCAAATGCCTCTTGTCCATGAATTCAAATTGCTAAGATGTCTTCAGGCCACTCAGTCAAAGAAGAGTCTTCTGTTGTTCAGAACAAGAAAACCATTATCCAGATGCGGCCATGAAGACATTGATGTGTTGTGGAACCATGAAACTACCTGTGGCAGTACTTTTGGTTTGAAGAAACATGTTCTCACCAAAACTAAAGTAATGTGGGTAAAGGAAGCATAGTAATCTTGGAGAACCATATTCACTGGCTTATTGTGCTGTAGAACCATCTTGGACAATATTCATGATGGCTTGTAGTTCATCTTTCTGGGGAATGTTGGTGGCATGAGAAGGAAGGAAGGAAGGAAGGAAGGAAATGGTCAATTGGTAGCTATTTGCAAAGCTTAACAATGCAGGTTTTTTCTTTTACTCTGTAAAGAATGCTTAAATGATTTTTTAATTAACCATTTAAACAGGCATGCTTTCCTCTTGCACTTACCTTCAATGCAACAAAAGTGTGACTTTATAAAGTGCAAATAGTCATTTTAAGTGTTCTGTGGGCTACATGTCATTTTTTCTTCATGACAACATTTTTGTGGAATATTTACATTTTTACTGCATATGCTTGAAGCTAACCTTGAGACATAAGGCATTCTATTAACTGGGAATAAAATTAGACTTTAAAGGCATAGGCTTTAAAATCTGGAATGGAACACTTGCATCACCATTGAGGTTATGTAAATCCATATTCCATTAGAATTTTCCTCCCCCCACTGAGAAATAAATAAAATATAAGTTGTCCTCTTAAATACTAAAATGACATTTAATTAGTATGCTAAACAAGGTGTCTCATTGTAGCTGCTGCTTGAATATATTAATTATATTAAATGTAACAAATTTTTCACTTCATGTGACAATTTATGTTGGGTATAATTAAGACTTCGGTGTTCTCTTGAGGAATAAATGAATTTCCTGTTGCAAGCCCCCCCCCCCAATTTTTTTAATGTCATGATTTAACTGCTGTACAGTTTCCATCACATACTCTAGAGATATTTTATTAGAAGTCATTTGATTTCTCTTGGGGCAGCAGTTGAAGTCTGACAGTTGATCTTTCTCTGTTATGTGTATCACTTAAAGATCAAAGCTATCATTAATCTCAATACTTTTGTTGATTCAAAGGAAGTTCAAAGCACTATTACATTGACTGTTCCTATCTTTGTACTTAGATATGAAATTGTGGATACTAAAATTATGGGGGAAAGTATTGATCCACATGGAATGCTAACAATCCTTTCTGCATGGTTTTATTCACATCTAGGTTTGTTTTCTTGGTTAGAAATGGAGCTTTTTTCACAATAAGCTACTATACATTTTCTCTGGCAGTTATCTGGGGCTATATCTCCTGCTTCAAAAGCTAAAATCCCCATTACTGACCGTTTGGGAGAGGATGTAAGGAACTGGATTCAGTATTCAAACTGCATGGACCTGAATCTGCAGAGGTGTAAGAACCAAGCTGTCCTCCCAGATTTATGTGGTCCCCTACAGATTTGGGGGCCTATACTCCACTAATTCTGAACATCCCATGTATATCTGAAACAGCCTTAAGTCAAAGATATCCTGTCTGTTTAAAAAATCCTCTGGTTTATTTATGTGGGATATTGTGCTTCTCTAATCATGATTTGGAATGCCAAGAAATGCTTCACAATATCATTGCCAAAAGAAAAAAGGGTGCCAAACATTAGATATCAAAGAGTATGACATGTATTTTGTATCCTGAACTTATTTTCTTACATAAGACTGTGAGCTTCCTTGTAATTAAGTAGTCATTCCTCCTATTCAACCATTGTCCCCAACCAAAAACAAAAGTATGGGAGAAGCCTTCATTATTTGACTGTTAACACACAAAAAATGAAGGTTAGTAGCTCTGATGTTGAAATAACTTGAGAAAATAGATGAAAATAAATCAAGTGTGCTAGGATTAGGTTAGAAGTTAGAAGACCAGATGAGATCCCAAGCCACACTACATCCTATTTCTAATTGCCCCCAAATTTGGAACTCCTTCAATCAAAAGGCTGCAATTAAGGCAACAGAGTTGGTATAACACACCCCTTTGAATTTAGATAAAATTATGTGCTGCATTTTCCCTAGTTTACCATGCTATATAATCGAGCTGCCTGAAAGAGGAAAAGATTTTGTACCACAAAGGGATTAGTGTATATATATTTGTTTAGCTGGAGCTCTCCTGACAAAATTCAATATTCTTGTATTTCCAGGAAGTTAGGGTTTTTCCTTCCCAGCACAATTCATGTATGTCCTATTCTTTCTGGGGCACAAGGAAGTCATTCCTGAAGAAAAGTTCTTGATGTAAAGTACATCTTTATCAGTTATTTCTAAATAAGTGGCAAGATTGCTTTTGATGAGAGGTAATTTAGCATGTGGTAGAAAAGCAAGTTGTGCAGCATTTGGACGAAGTGTTATTTCATGCGCCCTTTCAGTTAATGGTTTTTATTTGCTTATGGAACTGAAACTGTTTTAATCACCCTTCACACATATACATTTCATGATGGGGGCAGTGAGGCACTTCTCCATCCTGGCCCATGAAACTCATCTGACTTTGAGGATGAACCAGTTGTCTGGAAACTGGTGGGGTGTTCTCTCCTATTGAATATGTTGCATATCTTAGTGCAGAGGTTCTCAACGTTGGGTAACCCAGGTGTGCTTGGACTGCAATTCCCAGAAACTACGCCCAGCACAGCTGGTGATGAAGGCTTCTGGAAACTGCAATCCAGAAAGATCTGGGTTACCAATCGTTGGGAACCATTGTAGCTAGTATGAGATACACAAGGTGAGACACACAGTTCTCAACAGTTGGCAGGACAGTCAAGTTTTTGCTTTTGTGTGTCTTCTTCTTTTCTCTGTTTCTTTCCTTTCTAACTCTCAACCTCCATCTCTGTCACCAGATATCTTAACCATGGAGCCTTCAGGTCTACTCCTTTCCTTTCCTTTCTTTTCCAGATGGAGCCAACAGCTTGTTGGTGTATTAGTTATATGGCATTCCTCTGAGCTCATTTGTGTTGCCAGTGCTTTTTAATATCAAAGGACGATGCTATGAGCTGATCCAGAAAAGTGGAGCTATGTGTCATTAATATGCTGATAACAGACACTTCTGTGCATGATTAACTAAGCATTTATGATAATTTGTCTGTAGGCTGGGCATAAAAAATAAGAAGGTAAAAGCTTACCTTTCCAAAGTAGAATATGTATTAACTTTTACTGCTTCCATTATGAATTTTGTAGAGATCTTTATTTCTGTTTAATTTTTGTTCTACATTTTCTTGTAAGTTGTTTCAGGCATTAGAGCAATGGGATATAAATATTTTTAATAAATGTGTTAAATGATTAAATCTTATCAAAATAACTTAATACAGTATCTTGTTTCCATCAGTGTGATTCATTAATATTTCAAGTTGTCTAACTGTCTGCCACTCTACTATGCAGGAGAAGCCTACATGAGACTCAGCAGATTACTAGAAGCAGAACATTGGTATGTTGAATCACTGCGTTCCAAAACAGACCACATCCCAGCTCATCTCACTTATGGGAAACTCCTGGCTTTAACTGTGAGTTAAATCTTCATGAGAATGACAGTAATAACTGGGCAGGGTGGGGTGAGTGAATAGTCTCTGTCAACATTCTAATAAAAATGATACCTATGTATATATTTAATATTTGTTGGTGCAGTTCTGCTGGTGTAAACCATATTGGGGCATTGGAAATATTCAATTAAATACATTTAAAGTTTTCTGTTGCTCCATTTCAGCCTCTGGGGCTCCCTAGGGCTCCCCTTTCTCCTGCAGAAGACTTTTTAAAAGTGAAAACTAATTGTCAGATCACTACTGCCAGGATCAGGACCTGTCCTTCATGTGAAACTCAGGGTGCAACTACATGGTGAAGTACTGCAGGATTTCCCCCCTTATTGTGTTTAGTCGTTTAGTCGTGTCCGACTCTTCGTGACCCCATGGACCAGAGCACGCCAGGCCCTCCTGTCTTCTACTGCCTCCCGGAGTTGTGTCAGGTTCATGTTGGTTGCTTCGCAGACACTGTCCAGCCATCTCATCCTCGGTCGTCCCCTTCTCCTCTTGCCATCACACCTTCCCAACATCAAGGTTTTTTCCAAGGACTCTTTTCTTCTCATGAGATGGCCAAAGTACTGGAGCCTCAGCTTCAGGATCTGTCCTTCAAGTGAGCATTCAGGGTTGATTTCCTTTAGAACTGATAGGTTTGTTCTCCTTGCAGTCCAGGGGATTCTCAAGAGCCTCCTCCAGCACCACAATTCAAAGGCATCAATTCTTCGGCGGTCTGCTTTCTTTATGGTCCAGCTCTCACTTCCATACATCACGACAGGAAAAACCATAGCTTTGACTATTCGGACTTTTGTTGGCAAGGTGATGTCTCTGCTTTTCAAGATGCTGTCAAGATTTGTCATCGCTTTCCTCCCAAGAAGAAGGCGCCTTTTAATTTCAGGGCTGCTGTCTCCATCTGCAGTGATCATGGAGCCCAGGAAGATAAAATTTGACACTGCCTCTCCCCTTATTAAACTTGTGAATTAGAAGTATTTTTACTGAGCACATGATACAAAGGCTGATTCAAATTGGTCCAACGTTTTTTTGCTCCAAAGTGGGTTCCCCCCCCCCTCTATAACTGGGAGACTTCTATATTTTCAGTCTGAAAATTTTGAACAGGCTTTTTCCCTTGATACATTCTAGTGAAGAGGAGTATATTTCTGTAGGTAATATTTCAGTGACCTAGGGAGTTGTGATGTTTTGTTTACGACTGGGGAACATGCCCCCGCATTCTTTTCTCTCCCCAGATTGCCCTCCTAATTTTTAAGGTTTTAGACAAATTCTTACATATATGAGGTTAGTACTATAACATCCTTTCACCTTATTGCTGGGTCCCCATTTATTTCCCACATTTATGCACCGTAAAAAGATCAGTAGAAGCAGGAACAGAGATGGTAGGAAGGATCAGCAGAGGTGAGACCAGAGGAAAAATGGAAAGAAGGGAGGGCTGTAGCCTGGAATATGAATTACATCACATCCAGTATGGACAGTGAACTCCTAAATCAGCCTGCAGCCCCTGTGTTTCCAGAGAAAGTTAAGCCAGTTTTGCACAACAATATTCTAGATTTTTTATTTAACCTTATTTATTTTATCACATTTTGAAAATTCTGTGTTCTAGAATGCTAATTCAGTTAGATAGTCTACTACAAGATTATGTTTTCTGTTGTATATGGTCGGCCAGGTGGCAGAATGAGAGCATGTAATGAAATAAATCCAATCCATGCTGTAGGCTTGTACAAATGGTTAGTGAGATTCTAATTGTCCTGCTTAGAGACATAAGAAGTATTCCACAACCTACATAATATTATAAATTCATATGTAAAAATTATAATTCCGGAGGATATATTTTTCCAGAAAACATAAGAACAGGAAAATATAGTGTTAAGGCATATGAACAGTCACTCTGTTATCTGAATTATTGGAAAGCAGCCAGTTTGGGATTAAAGCCTCTATTTTCATTTTATTTTATTTTTTCAGAAACTTGATTTGAAGGTACCTTGTGTTGTGTTCATGCTGTTCTGAATTCCTTAAAATCTCGAAGACTAGTTTGGGTGAACTGGTTAAAAGCAAGAACAAAAGGCATGTTGTGGCACCTTAAAGATTAATATTTTTACTGTGGCATATGAAGTAAACTGCAGTCCACATACGCTTAAGTTCTAATGAAATTGCTAACCTTTAAGAGGCCACATGACCTTTTTTGCCCCTTACTACTGGCTAATGCAGCTTTCTCTGTGGAAACAACTTGTGGTCAATCTCTGTTAAAATTCATGACCCTCTGAATATAGTTTGTCAACTCGTCGTTGTTTAGTCATTTAGTCATTTAGTCGTGTCCGACTCTTCATGACCACATGGACCAGAGCACGCCAGGCCCTCCTGTCTTCCACTGCCTCCCAGAGTTGTGTTAAATTCATGTTGGTTGCTTCGCAGACACTGTCCAACCATCTCATCCTCTGTCGTCCCCTTCTCCTCTTGCCTTCACACTTTCCCAACATCAAGGTCTTTTCCAAGGAGTCTTCTCTTCTCATGAGATGGCCAAAGTATTGGAGCCTCAGCTTCAGGATCTGTCCTTCCAGTGAGCACTCAGGTTTGATTTCCTTTAGAATTGATAGGTTTGTTCTCCTTGCAGTCCAGGGGACTCTCAAGAGCCTCCTCCAGCACCACAATTCAAAGGCATCAATTCTTCGGCGGTCAACCTTCTTTATGGTCCAGCTCTCACTTCCATACATCACGACAGGAA